CACCCGGTGGAGGTGGTGGCTGCTCAAACCCTAAGGAAGGAGACGCTGCTGCAGAAACCTGAAGGTCTGCTGCTAACAAAGGCAGGAGGTTTATTGATCAACAAATGGGAAATAATGGTCGTAATCACAAGCAGCCTGGTATTGATAGAGCTGAGTTAATAATGCTTAAAGGGAGGGAAGGAAAGGTCAATGTACAAGTGAAAAATTGACTGCTGTCTCATTAGGCCCCAATGCCTATATTATAAAGTATAAACTTGGCAGCGCATCTCAAGTAAACCAGGGAACATAAATTATGTAAACTCATCTCCCACCTTTCTATTGCACTACATTAAAGGAAGCAGGGTAAGACCCAAAGTACATGATAAAGGGGGGAGATTAAAAGGAAATGCACATAAGCTTAAGGGTTATAGCGTGCACAGATTGGGTCATAAATTAATTTAAATATGAGGACTGTTAAGATCCTCTAGCATAACCCTGGCCATAAAATTTGCTTCAGACGTTCTTCTATGAAACCTTCACCTTTGTCTGAAAAAGAGAATATCCTCCAGAAGGACATCAAGGTTTGATTTAAAGGCAGGGCATAATAGAAAAAGCACTATATCCTTAATAAGCTAATGGAAAACTCATCTCTCATATCCAGTATAAATGTATTTTGTTTTACTTTCCAGAGAGACTGGTTGCCAAGCAGGAACATTTAAGTGAAAAAAATGTCCTTTTCTCATTATGACTAGAAAATCTAGAAAACCGGTATGAATGAAAGATCAAAACATCAATAATTTCAGGCTGGTATTATGCATTGAGATGTAGAAAGAGCATTCTCTTTAAAATTCTCTTCTTTTCATGTTGGCATATTACAGGTCAGAGATGAACCGTTACCTGTGTGTCCCACTAGGAATCTGATGTTTGGCATCCTTAGAGCAGTAGGATTATCCCAGTAAGTTTGCTTCCATGTAAAAACAGCTTTCATCCTAAAGGTGCTGCTACCCTGACAAAAATCAGACAGGCATTTCTGCTCTGGCAACCCAGGGAAGCAGAGTCCTTGGGACCACCAAGGTATGAGCCCCTGCTGCTATCACAGCAAGAACATGCTGGTGAGGAAGAGGAAGAGGATGGGCTGCTTCACATGAGACACGCCATCAGTGCGTGGCAGAAGGACAACCGGAGGGTTATCCTAGTTAATAACTTGTTCCCCATCAGTGATTAACACCATCTCCTGATTAACAGCTGGGAAAGAGGTACTGCATTTTGTGGCCACCTCCAAAAAAATCAGTGCCGATGAGGCAGGGAGCAGGTCTTAGAGGAACGACACCAGTTTTGCTCCTGCTGCATCCTTCCCTGCCTTCCAGCTGCTCACAGAAGTCTCTCTGCTCTACCACACCACCAGGTTTAGAAAACTTATGAAGATTCATGGTCTTTCAGATTGCTGCCATTCTGTCAGATCTGGTTGAGATTGAGCAGTGAGTTAAAAAAATTGCGGGGGGAGGCAGGGATGTTGCATGAGCCCCAGCCCCTTGGGGACCAGGCCAGTACTGACCACAGGCATGAGCCCTTACTGCTCCTTGCAGGATGTTTCCAAAGGAAAGGACGTCAATCCCATTTGCTGCAAGACACGGGTATCACAAGGAAGCCCAAAGCACAGACTACAGTCCTGCGTTGTTGTTACTTAGAGCAGGTCCCTGCAAAGCTGCCCTGAATTTACCATCTAAAACCCTTAGCAACATTAGTTGGAAATTTTTCATGCAACTGGTCAGAAAGTCAGTGTCTGCTTAGCTCACCTGTGCTTGGCTATCTCCACGAGATCTCATTTGCCTTGCCTGTGTGGAACAGGGTGACCAAGATTGCCAATGTCTAAAAATAACATCTCCGTTAGCTGCCATCCCTGACACCTCCTCTTCGTAGCCTGATTTCTCAAGGAAGCAAGTCTGCTGTGATCATGTTGCCTCTTTGCCTCTTGACCCCACAAATCGCTTTCAGATCTGTTGGCCACTTCCAGGGAGATGTGGCAGCAGGGTGGAAGTCTCAAAGGCAGCTGAGCTGCTGCAGTCTCAGGAAAATTATCTAGGTACATGGAAGAGAGATTCAGTCTTGCAACCCCACATGGGAAAGGGTTACAGCCAGACCTCTGTTGGTGAGAAGCAGAGAAGCCACTGAGGCCAGGAGAGACGCACAGTCCAGCTGCAGCAGCTTTGCTCACATTCAATATCTTTTTAAATAGCCATTAATCCATCAGCAGGACACAGATCCCCTGCAGCATGGGATCCTGGACCATGGGGAGTTTGCTGGAGCACTGCTGGCAGCGCGGGTGGATGGCTTCAAGCTGCCCCTGAACTGATATAATCCCTAATAACAATATTTGAATGCTTGACAATTAGAGAAGAACTCTCACACTGCTTGCTTGCCAGGATGTGAGAGTAATTGTTTCTAAGAACCCTTGCTAAGCTGTAATGCTAATCAGTATTAAGATTCCTCTTTTTCAGAGCAGCGTGCTAGAATTAACCCCAGCATGCCACACACTGATTGCTGGAAGCTGGTCTGGAGGCTGGGCTTGCTCGGAGACCTGGCAGGGAGCTCACGGCATCTTGGTGCGTTGCCTGTGTTTTATATGTAGGCAAGAAACACCAGTCAGGGTGGTGGTGTCTCAGTCCTGTCTCCCTTCAGGAGGACTGATCCAGGGGCTGCTTCTTGCCAGCAAGAACCTACAGTCCCATTTCTGGATAGGTGGGTGCATCCTGAAGCAGAGGTATCTGAACAAAGATGGAAATAGGGCTGGATCTCAGAGTTACGGATACCCAGCTGGGATACTGGGACTGCACTGTGGGCTGAACGGTGAGTGCTGACAGGGAGACAATGAAGGTCTGTGCTACTCAGCCCTGGTGTCCCTGAGACACACTAGCTGTGAATCTCTGGTGTGTGACTCACATGTGGTGGAAACTACCCCCCCATAGTTTTCCTTTTGAAAGGGAATTCTCAACCCACCTTGGCCTCTTCTTTTAATCTCCCAGTAGTGGATACTCATCAGCAATTGCCTCCCTCCCCTTGGCATTTGCTTCCTTTCTTGTTGCTAGCTAGCACTGAAACCCTCACTGCTGCATAACAGAGGTGGGAAAATGCACACATGTCTCTTTATTCAACAGATGGCTTGAAAAACCCAAGAAGGCTTAGCCCTATGTAGAAGGCACTTGTTTTAAGGATGCTTCATATGGCAGAACTGGAACACATGGTTTCCTTTCATCACTTATGTCAAGACTGGAGCTGGGCTAAGAGGTGTCACCCCCCCCCACACCGCTGCATGCCTGCCTCCTTCAAGCTATGTGGAGAATCTCTTCTCTCCTTTCTCTCTGTCTTGATACTTTCCCTTTGATCTGTGTCATCTCAGGTTTATTTTCCATGATGCAGAAAGAGCCTCGTCAAGTGAGCAGGGGCAGAGCCTCTCAGCAGAGTGTGTTCGCTTGTCAGGTTATTTCTCTTCTCTGTCGGGTTATTTCTTTTCCTTTCTCTTCCTGTGTAGCAGCCAAGGAGGAAACTTCTTTACCCTGGCCCTAGGAGGAATCAGGCTCCTGGCATGGCTTTGGTATCACACGCAGCTCTGCCTAGGGCTGATGACTTCACACCCAGGTTAATTGCGTTGTATGGTCCAGAGCATGATGTGCTGTAAAGCCAGGTCTTCCTTTGCCAGAGTTGGCTTGTTGGCTTAAAAAAACAAGTGTTGAGCAGAGCACAGAACTGGCCAGTGGGTACCAGGAACCTCCTGTGGTTGTAAAACAAGAAAACCAAAATAGCTTTAATGGTTTTCACACTGCATAGGCTTAAGTGGTTTTTAAAACATGCTTAGTTTGCCCTGGATGTGGTAAACAAGCTCTTCTGAGTCCTGGAGGGCTGTCAGTGTGCAAGAGACTGAGCGTGGCAGGACAGGCAGCCTGAGCCACAGCAGTACCTAAACATCCCCCAGTTGCCTCAGATAAGCCCTGTACCTGGGTACAAATGTCCTTTAGGTAGGGGTGCTTCGTGCAAGGGGTAGATGAGGACTAGAGCTGCCATGCAGTAACTTTATTGAAGGCACTGTCATTTTTTTTCCATCTCATGGGTCCACCTAGTGCAGTGCTGGGGGCTCAGACCAAGTGTGGACTGCTCGACCGAGGTATGCTGGCATAGGCTGCTCTGCCCAGGTGGGTCCCAGCAGTGCATGGGACCTCACCAGGCAGGTAAGAGAGTGGATCCAACCCTGACAGCTTCCCCAGGCTAGCTAACCTTCTCCTTGGGACAAGCTGGGAGTAGGGGAGTCACAGTGCCTGCCACTAGATTGTGCAGTGAGGTTATACGTGGCACACAGATTGTGTCTGATTTTTTCTTCTCTTTAAAGCAAAGACCTTTTTTAGTGTGTGAATAAATGCTCTCCTAAAAGAGAAGACACCATCTGCTCCTAAGCACAAATTTAATTTTCCAAAGGGTTAGATTTAAATAAGATCCACAGGCTCAGAGTGGTGGCTGGGGGAGCCTGTAATGGGTTTTTGCCCCTTCTGCATCTTGCTGGAAGCAGATGTCTTAGTTTATGGGAGGGCGACATGGTGCCTGCAATGAAACAGGGGTTCTGGCAGCTGGAGACTCCACAAACTCCCTGAGCTCCCCAGGGCCTGATGGCTAAACTGGTGATTGCAGGTAGGCTTAGAACATTGACATGCAAACAATCAGGAGCCAGTTGGATGGGGACCCTGCCATGCACAGCCTGTGCCCTGCAGGGCTTCACTTCTTTCATCATCCTTAGGAGAGTCAGCAAGCAGGAATTACAGCTGCAGCAAGGCGCTTTCTTGTGCACAGCGATTTGTTGGGTGATCTGGAGCAAGGATATGCACCTGGCTGTTTTTCCCTGTGTGGGTGCTAAAAGTGCCAGCCAGCTCACAAGTTACACCAGTGCAGGGCCCCAGTGCAACCCCTTTGGAGCACTGGTCCCATGTCGGCTGAGCCGTGTGGCCCTTATGTGCTTTGCTTCTCTTGCCTTCCAGCCGCTGGTATTGCTGATGGAGTGGCCTGAAGCCACCAACTTCGCCTGCCTGATCGCAGGCTACTGCCGTCTCCTGGTGGACTCCAAGAAGATGATATTCTCCAGGGCCCCCAGCCAGCCACCCCCACCTCAGATTATCAAGGCAGGTACGTTTCAGCCTCTGCTTTCTGTGCGAGCCCCTTCCCCAGCCTCCCGCTCCTCCTCCTCCCTCTGCCCAGGGCTCTGCAGCTTTAGAAAGGAGAAGGGTTTCTCTGGCATCTCCCCTCTGCTCCCATTCCCCCTGCAGAACCAGCAGACCCCTTTTAACCAGAAAACAAGGAGCAGGGAAACAAGTCCTCATTTTGGATAAGGTCTGACTTGTGGTGTCAGCTTGGGCCCTAAACACTCACTGCAAGTCTTGTTCTGGCAGCTCCTAGAGCAGATCCAGGAGGTGCCATTTGAAAAGACTTGTAATGCTGCCAGCTAAATGCTGGGTCCTCACAGAACAGCCTGTGCGTTGCCGCAGGGATGCAGCACATGCCTCTTGGCTGGCATCCCGGCTCCAGAGACCAACGTGAGTTTATGCACTCAGCCAGGAGCTGCATTCCTACTGCCTTTGGACACTGCTGCCTTCAGTAGTGGGGGTCTGGGCTCCAAAGGCAGCTCTGCAAGCACAGCTGCTCTGCTGATTTCCTAAATCAGGAAGGAAACTTTGGTGTCCCAGCTTTTCAGGCGCCCAGCCTGATGCAGGGAGCAGAGGGCTGGTCTGGGCACAGCAGGAGACCAGAACAGCTAAAGACAGGTTCTGTCCCACCAGGCACTGATGCTCTGTTCCTTGAGGATGGATTGCAGGTGCAAGTCACCCTCAAAATGATCGATGATTTTCAAGAGTGATTTCAAACAAAAGCCAACCATCAGCTACGTGCTGTTGTTCCATGCAGGTGTTCACACTAAACATGTTTTGTATAGGGAAATACAGGATCAGTGGCTGGAGATGGCCAAAGTACCAACCCATCTGACTCTGGAAGGTTGCCCCTAGACCTGCCGAGTGACACTGCAGCTCCAGAGAGCTGTGACAAGTCTTCAGTTTAGCTGGCAGAGTGTCAAAACTGCCTCCTCAAGATGGGACTAGCTGGGGGAGGTGGGAGGAGTGCTGAGAGCTAGCAGGGTCCTTGCGAAAGGACTCGGTGCCTCTGAGGTCTGAGGAAGGCACCCAGACACAGGCTTGGCACATGTGGGAGACACACTCACAAGAGGCATCAGGAAAGCATCTGTGGCAGCCTCAGTGAATCCAGGGAAAGACCTAGCAGGTGATGTTGGTGTAAGTATATGTGCATGGTTTCCTTTTGTTTCTTCAGCTGCACCTCTTACTGACAGCTGTCACTGTGCTCTCTGCTCTCGGTGCCCTACAGAAACACATTTAGTCACATTTTGCTATGAGTGGAGGGTGTTTCCAACTTAACTGGCTATCATGAGAGTGGTCCTTCCCTGGGTCATGTCACCCTGAGATCAGCTACAGGGACACATGGGGCACATGCCTGTGGGGAGTCAGAGGAATGTGGTGGGAAGTGGAGAGCATCCCAGAACATCCCCAAGGCCTCAGAGGGAGGCTGGCAGCACCCACAGTTACTGGTCACTCAGGGAATGTCTCAGCATGTGCGAGTGGTGCTTTTCCACACTCTAGCAACAGTGATAATAGCCAGCATTTTTCCTCAGGGAGATTGTGCTTTGTGGGCATGGTCCAAACATATGCCAAAAGGGGTAGTAGGTCTTGCCCTTTTCTTGACAGTCTCAAGAAACCAATGTCACTCTGCAGGGGGGCTAGAGTGAGTGTGAGGGAAAGTGACAGTGTGGAAGCGATGGAGCAATCGATATATGGTCTTCATACCAAAGAGCTAGCCCCTCTCTGGATGGCCTGGTCTATCCTCCGGGGTGCAATGAAAACCTCTCTGACCAGTGGAGTGGAACAGTTTCCCTGCAGACTCAGTACACTTGGCCCAGCCACTCAGGCATTCTTCAGAAGGAGTGAATTTAGTGTGTATTGAGAAAACAAAGTCTGCTCACAGTTCTGGTCTCGCTACAGCTGCAGGCTGAGCTGTCAGGAGCTAGGCAGATCACAGGGAGCAGGGACTGCTGATCATTAGCACATCTCTGCAGGAACGATTTGAAAGCCCCACTGGGATGAATCAAGTTAGCCCAGGCTTTGACTTTTCCAGGCTGCAGGCAGGCTGTGCCAGAATCTTAAATGTAAAATCAAGCCCTGGCCCATGCTTTTTGCCTAGCAGAGGAGCTTATCCATCTTCCCCGAGGCCCATTAAAACCTCCTGCTGAACTGCAGACATTTTTCGAAATGCACACTCTGTCCGGATGCTGTCAGTTAGATCCATCTCTCTGCATTTCCCCACGGAGCCATATGCCAGATCCTTGCCCTCCGCAGGAAGGGTTGTGTCATGCTGGAGCTGCGCAGGAGATTTGCTTCCCTGCCCCTTCCTCTCCCTGCTCCCACCAGCAGCCATCATCAGCCAAGCAGCTCCATGTCCTTGGTTGCTCTCAGCTCTTTGTTGGGACCTTCTTCCCCAGAGCAGCCAGCAGCTGGATTATGGATTTTAGGATTTTGGCCCCATTTGGCAACAGGCCCTGGCTTGGCATGGGCAGCCAGCAAGGCTGTCCAAGCGGGGCAGGCTGCTAGCATGACCCATCAGAGATGTCTGGCTTTGGGAAATCCTCTGCTTTGGTCCATGCCACCCCACCACAGCCCAGTGCTGAAAGCACGTCCCCAGCTGCAGCAGCCTTGTGTTCACTCACACAGCTGCCATTTCTGAGTACCAGTATGTCCATAAATGAGAGAGAGATTGTTTTGATTGGGATTTTAGCATTGCAGGTGATGAACACTCTAATACAAACATGTGTTTGGGGAGACAAATTGTCCAATTTGTTGAGCTAATGAATTTAATTAGGATTTATTTGATTTAATTTATACTTGGTAAGACAGAGCCTGCATCCCCTTGGCAGCCATTCTCAGCACAGCTGCACAATTCAACCTGTAATGCAGACAGATGCCCCTCCTGAGGGCTGGACCACTGGCCAGAAGTTCGAGCAATATTTCAGCCGCTTGCCTTGCACAAGGGAGCAAGGGGAGGCTGTTGCAGGGAAATATTTAATAGCAGAAGCAGAGGGCTCTTTCGGAGCTAGCCTGATCCAATAGCTGTCAGCTAGACAGAAACAATGCATGGATCTTGGGCAGCGAGGGACAAGAGACTAGGGGGGTATCTGTCACTTAAAGTCACCCAAGCTATGTTGGATGTCTCCCCGGAAGGCAATATTGCACCATGTTTAGCAGTGTCCTAAGGAAAACTGCTTGGTCTGGACACCATTATGCAAAAATGGTGACAACAGTTCCTTCTTGCCGTGTAATGTGTGAACTGGCAGACTGAGGCTGAAGGTCCTCATTCATGCATGCAGCCAGGCTGCTCCCATTGCCCTCCGAATGTGGCTGGTGGCTCCATGATGCAGCATCCGCATCCCTGTGTCTCACTGCCTGCTGTGCTGGCCAGCCCTCCTCTGGTTCTGCCCAGCTCTGCCTCCCAGCAAGCTACTGGGATCTTGCTTCCTCTCCCTGCTGCTGTCATGCAGCACAGAAACAAGACATTTTCCCAGGTAGCCAATGTGGATGGAGTCCAGCCCAGAGCAGTAAGAAAGCTGAGACATTTAGGAAACAGACATGTCGGGAAAGATTAAAGGTATTTGCTGCAGTTAGTCTAGAAAAGAGATAGGTGGGGAGATGGAGAGGGAGGAACAGGACAATATTTCTGATGTCTAAAGGTCGTTTGTAAAAGGGCACTGATCAGTTGTGCTGCTGGTCCACAGTGTCATTGATCTAATTCCTCACAAAAAACCAGCTTTAGGGTCAATACTTTCTTATCATAAATGTCATAATATTTAACTTTATAAAATTTATATGATTAAACTCTATAGCACGTAATCATTTTGGAGACAATGGAGCAAACCACACAAGGAGCTGGCCTGCTCTGTCAGTGTGTCACAGGACTTTTGCTGGCTGGAGCTCAACTGCTTCTAAATCCTGTCCAGCCACCCTCTAGGCTCTTCTGGCCTCCATCATCGCTATAGCCCAGCCACACCTAAGGGCCTCACTAAAACACTTTCAACAGTTCTTTGTAATGGGAATCCAGATTTTTATTGATTTAGGAAAAAAAGGCATGTCAGCTTCTTCAGTACCACACGGGCTTTTTTTGAGCTGGCCATCTTCCACGTCCACCATGTAAATCTCTGTATGTCCCTCTTCCTTCTGCCTCCTCCAGGTCTTCCCTTCTCTCCTTACTGCAGGGAGGGGTTGATGTCTCAGAGCCAGAAGGTCCCTTGACTTCAGTGTCAGCAGTCCCCTCCTGTTCTTGGTGGCAACATGCGTGGTATCCCTCAGGGCTGAACCCTTTCCTCTAGAGAGACCCACGTACTCAGGTAGGGAGGCCGAGGCAAGTGTGGCGCATACAGAGCAGCCCATGGGAATGTGCTCCCCTCCATCACACACACACTTATGAAGGTTGCTTTAGTTACGGTTTTCCTGCCTCAGAGGTGGGGTACAGACAAGCCGATCACCCAAAATCCCTTCCACCTCATGATCTGTTCAAGGAGCTAGCCAATAGGACCCCCTGGGAAACTGCCCTTAGGGACAAGGGAGCAGAACAGAGCTGGCAGATCTTTAAGGATGCTTTCCATAGAGTGCAAGAGCTCTCAATCCCCAGGTGTAAGAAATCAGGAAAAGAAGGCAAGACACTGGCATGGATGAGTCGAGACCTGCTGGTCAAACTAAAGGGCAAGAAGGAAATGTACAGGCAGTGGAAGCAGGGACAGGTATCCTGGGAGGAGTATAGGGACGCTGCTTGGTTGTGTAGGGATGGAGTCAGGAAGGCCAAGGCGCAGCTCAAGCTGAACTTGGCAAGGGATGCAAAGAATAATAAGAAGGGCTTCTACAGGTATGTCAGCCAGAAAAAGGTCCAAGAAAGTGTACTGCCCTGATGAACACAACTGGCAAACTGGTAACAATGGATGAGGAGAAGGCTGAGGTACTCAACAACTTTTTTGCCTTCACTGGCAACCTCTCTTCCCACACCTTTCGAATGGATGGATGTATGACAGGGACTGGGGGAGCAAAGTCACTCTCACTGTAAAAGAAGATCAGGTTTGTGACGACCTGAGGAATCTGAATATACATAAGTCTATGGGACCTGACAAGATGCATCCCAGAGTCCTGAGGGAATTGGCTGATGTAGTTGCCAAGCCACTCTCCATGATATGTGAAAAGTCATGGCAGTCAGGTGAAGACCTCGGTGACTGGAAAAAGGGAAACATTGCCCCCATTTTTAAAAAGGGTAGAAAGGAGGGCCCTGAGAACTACCAACCTGCCAGCCACATCTCTGTGCCTGGGAAGATCATGGAACAGATCCTCCTAGAAGCCATGTTAAGGCACATGGAGGACAGGGAGGTGATTTGACACAGCTAGCATGGCTTCACCAAGGGCAAGTCTTGCCTGACCAGCCTAGTGGCCTTCTATGATGGAGTGACTACATCAGTGGACAAGGGAAGAGCTATAGATGTCATCTATCTGGACTTCTGTAAGGCCTTTGACACGGTCCCCCACAACATCCTTCTCTCTAAATGGGAGAGAGATGGAGTTGATGGGTGGACTGTTCAGTGGATAAGGAATTGGTTGGATGGTTACATCCAGAGAGTAGTGGTCAATGGCTCAATGTCTGGATGGAGATCAGTGATGAGTGGTGTCCCTCAGGGGTCCATATTGGGACCAGTACAGTTTAATAACTTCATCAATGACATAGACAGTGGGATTGAGTGCCCCCTCAGCAAATTTGCAGATGACACCAAGCTGAGTGGTGCAGTTGACATGCCTGAGGGACAGGATGCCATCCAGAGGGACCTGGACAAGCTTGAGAAGTGAGTCCATGTGAACCTCATGAGGTTCACCAAGGCCAAGTGCGAGGTCCTGCACATGGGTCGGGGCAACCCCTGGTATCGCTACAGGCTGGGGGATGAAGGGATTCAGAGCAGCCCTGCGGAGAGGGACTTGGGGGTGCTGCTGGATGAAAAGCTGGACATGAGCCAGCAATGTGCGCTCACAGCCCAGAAAGCCAACCATATCCTGGGCTGCATCAAAAGAAGTGTGGCCAGCAGGTCAAGGGAGGCGATTCTGCCCCTCTACTCCACTCTGATGAGACCCCACCTGGAGTACTGTGTTCAGCTCTGGAGCCCCAACATAAGAAAGACATGGACCTGCTTGAGTGGGTCCAGAGGAGGGCCATGAAGATGATCGGGGGCTGGAGCACCTCCCCTATGAAGACAGGCTGAGAGAGTTGGGGTTGTTCAGCCTGGAGAAGAGAAGGCTCTGGGGAGACCTTATTGTGGCCTTTCAATACTTATAAGAAAGATGGGGATGGACTTTTTAATAGGGCCTATAGCGATAGGACAAGGGGTAATGGCTTTAAACTAGAAGAGGGTAGATTCAGACTAGATATAAGGAAGACATTTTTTATGATGAGGGTGGTGAAACACCAGAACAGGTTGCCCAGAGAAGTTGTGGATGCCCCATCCCTGGAAACATGCAAGGTCTGGTAGAACGGGGCTCTGAGCAACCTGATCTAGTTGAAGATGTCTCTGCTTATTGCAGGAAGGTTGGACTAGATGCCTTCCAACCCAAACCATCCTATGATTCTATGATCTGCATGTGCAGGACATTTCTTCCTGCACTCATTACTGGCAGGTAAGCCCAGCAGGTTGCAGAAGATGGTTTTTCAAAAGACAAGCCAGGTGACCTGGCTGTGCCACAGGGAACACACATGTTCCACTGCAGTCTGGCATGCCAAGGGCTGGAGGGCAGAGAACACGTGGATGCTTCTCCAGGGTGAGCAGGAGCTTCCCTGTGCTGTTTTCCCTTCTCCCAGATGCTGCTGCTAATGTGCCTGTTGTGGTTTTTGTTTAGATTACATCAACACACACAACCTACACCGGCCCGCTGCGGCGGGGCACACGGGAAAGAAAGAGAGCGGGTTGGTGGGTGGCTCTGCCACCGGCACCGGAGCAGCTGGGGTTCCAGCTGCCAGGGCTTCAGACTCAGAGCTCATCAGCTTTTGCTACCTGCATATGCGAGAGCAGAGGAAGGAAAGAGAGAGCAGGACAGATATCAATGAAAACCTGATTTTTTTTGAGGAAACTCGTCCCAGGACCAAATCCGACCCCACTTCCAAAAGCTCTGGCCAAGGCTACAATGGGGCAGCTAACCAGTATGACCCAGATGGCCTTGACCAAGACAGGCACGCAAGCAGGGCCAGGGCACATACCATAGACACCCACCTGCGGAGCGATGCCTCACACTTCTATTGTGAGTCCTGCCAAGCCAAAATCAAGAGCCGGCTGGCCTCATGCAAGGGGAGCAAGCCTGGCAGCACCCGTGACAATATGGTGGACTTGATGTCACTTCCCCCTCCTGGGAGCGATGAGGAAGAAGATGAGACAACGTCCCTGCTCCCCGCCATCGCTGCCCCCCCTCCTGGCTTCCGAGACAACAGCTCAGATGAGGACGACCCCAAGCGCCGGGCAGCTGCCCAGAGCCAGGAGCAGGGCCGGCACCTCTGTGGCATTCTCTACGACGAGATCCCTGTCACGCTGATAGACAACGTGCAACCACGGACAGTCCGAGACCATGCCCAAGAGCTGGACGATGCCCTGGTGTCCACCCTGCAGGCACTGGAAGCCCTGGCTGCTTCAGAGGATTGTCCGCATCCCCCACCACAGCAGACAGCAGGTATTTCGGTGGCTGTGACTTTCTTTTTTCCCTATAGCCTTTCTTTCCTATGGTACATCCTTCCCTTTAGTGTCCTTCTCCTATCCTATATGTGATTGTGGAGCAGCTTCTAGTGAAAACTAAGTTGTAGCAACAGGCTCTAGCAGGAGCAGCCAAGCTGCTGCTCAGATTTCTAAGAAGCTGAGGTGGGACTCCTCTCCCTGACAGTGGCTGAAGGAGTCTCTTGGTTATCCCGTATCTGCCATGGTCCACGTGCCATGATGCTGGGGTGAGGCACTAACAAACCAGTACCGTGAGCACGAGTTCCTCCCTGCTGTGACCCCACTCAGCTGATACCTTTGGCCCTTTGTCTTCGCAGGTTCCCACCCAGGTTTTGAAGTGTGTAAGCCCTTCACAGGGCAAACCTGCTGTCAGATGGGTGTCCCTGGAACCAGCCTTCTGGCAACACAGTCCTTTGTCCCTCTCCCCATCTTGGTTGCCCTACTCACTATGGCAGAGTAGCTGTTGCCCAATTTTCCTTCTCACTCCAGACAAGTCCCAGTAGCTCTGCTATCGCTAACGCTGGAAGGCTTCCCGGGACCTTTTTCCGGGCCAAAAGCTCTTGCTGAATTGAGCTAGCAAGCCAGCTCAGTGCTGAAAGTGATCTCTCCTAAAAGCATTAACTCTTGGTTGCGGGAAGTCACTAAAGTCTCTCTGATGGGATGCTGTGTCCTGCATTCCTGGGACCCTCCTGCTGCTTGGAGTTCCCCTTTTCTTTGCGTAGCAGTGTGTGTGGATGTTGTTGTGGGGTTTTCTTTATGTCCCTCCTCAGGTCTTATTGTCCTGGCTGCCATCACTCCTGAGTCATCCTTGGATTCTGGCCATGAAACCAACTCTTCAGAGCTAACTGATGTCTCAGAGATGGTCTCTGCTATGAAACAGCATCAGAACGCAGCCTACTTCCTCGCTCAACACATCAACAAAGAAAACCTCCTGGCCAGAAAAGACCTGCCTTTCCGAATACAGAGCTGTGCTGCCCAAGCTGTTCTCACCTCACCCTACTCCCTCAGCCACCAAGAGCCAAGCCCTTCACTGAAGCCAGCTTTCCCTCACCAAAGCCCCAGCCTTAGCAATTCCAAGAGCAAACAGGAGCAGCAGCATGCTGATCGGACCTACACCTTGGCTGTCCAGCCGATGCTGACCCCCCAGCTTAATGAGCAGAACAGGGGGGCTCCAGTGCCAGGCTCTGAGTGCAAGGGTGCAGGCCACACAAAAGCTGCTTTTGAGGTATCGCTGCATGCCACAGGAGCCCTGAGCGGGGAGAAGGCACAGGATCTACAAGAGAAGATGCTCAAAGAGGTCCAGCCGAGCTCCAAGCTCCTCCTGGATCAAAAAAGTGGTGTAAATCCAGCCATCATTTCAGCTGCTCTGCAGCAAGTGGCAAATGCAAAAGGCTCAGCTCCCCAAGTGGTAGCAGCCTCAAAAGAAGACAAGAACATGAATGGTACCAGCAGCTGTGCATCAGCCAGCAGCAAGCCTTTGAAACTTAAAGGAGGTCCACAAACTGCAGAGATATTATGCAACTGTCAGCAGCAGCAGCAGCAGCAGCAGCAACTCTCTCCACAGCAGTGCTGTGAAGTTTCTCCAAGTGCTAAAGAAGCTCATGGCAGTAAGGCTGAAGCTTTCCACCTCGCCTCAGCAGGTGAGGAAACGATGCCTGGTAAGACTTTTGCCTCTAAAAGCTACCAGCAAAAAGTGAGTAGAGATGCTTCAGGAAAAGCCACAAGTGGAGAGCTAGGTCAGAAGGCAGGTGGGGAAGCCACAAGCCTCATCTTTCAGAAACACACAGCTCCTTCAAACCAAGGACAGAAAACGCAACAGGAAAGTTCAGCCAAAAGCTTAAAAGCTGAGAGTAGCAATCTGCACTCTCCATCACCTGGTAGCACTTTCAGGAGCACCAGTGAGGAACCCAAAGGGCCAGTCCAGCTGGTGCCCAGATCTGAGAGCCTGCAGATCAGCACTGTGCCTTCCAAAAAAGAAGAAAAAGTCCTGGAGGTAACCCAACAAGATGCTGATATCCCAGCTAAACCCAAAGCTCCAAAAGCTCCCTTCAGGTTGAGGAACCTGTTCTCTGCAACATTTCCAACTCGGCTGAAGAAGGAGACAGATGAGCGGCAGGCCCAGCTGCAGAAGGTGAAGCAGTATGAGCTAGAATTCCTTGAAGAGCTGCTCAAGCCAAAGAACAAAGGTGACCTCCCACCACAGGAGTATCTGCACCCTCCTGCTCCTGGGCGCTGCAGCTGCCAGCTCAGGAGCAGTCCTGTGCAAAAAGTCCCAGGGATGTCCAGGGAGCAAAGGCGCAGCTGCGACTGCAAGCGGATTTGCAGGGGGGTGAGGCCACCCCCTAACCAGCTGGTGATGCCAGAACTGGAGAGGCGAGGAAGGGATAAAGTTACTGATGACCAGAAACAGACAGAAGCCATTAGGTTGACAAGTGTGAGCAGCCCTTCCAAAGGCAAGCGGATACGATCCACAAGTTTAGAGTCCAGAGACTACCGGTCAGATCCAGAAAACAATGTGTCCTGTTTGACAACGTGCACTTCCCAGGCGGAGTGCATGGGTGCTCCCCACTACAGGAAGCTCTTGCGTCGCTACAGTGTCAGTGAAATAGATAAGACTGATAGGACATCCCTGTCCTCTGACATCTACCAGAACATCTATACAACCAAGCAGAAAGGCCCCCAGAAAGAGCCTGAGCCCAGCATCCTTTGTCCTGTTCTGAAGAGCAAAATCCAGGAAGCCTCTGGAGTGGCTGACCCCTCCTATGTCCAGATAGCACAGGAGAAAAAGAACCAGAAGAGTTCAGCAGTGTTCTCTGTCCAGGAGGAGATGTATCCAAGTCCTGCTGAGCTGCGGGATGAAGACATGGAGGATGAGAAGTGCTGCTCCATCCGGTACTGCTTCTACTACAGGAAATGCGATGTTGCAGATGATGGGAGTGAGAAGGATGAGCTGTCCTATTCCATCCCCATGCAGATACTCCCAGGAATGAAGCTGGACAATCAGATGGTCCCAGTCATGAGCAGGACTCTTCAGGTCCTAGATGCAACAGCCTGCAGCAGTCCCAATGACAGTCAGACCCAGGAAATAGATTTAAGGACCTCCAGTTTTGAGGGGAGCTTGGCAAAGATCAACACCCTTCGAGGCCATGCCTACAGCTTTCCCAATGGGTTTCTGCAAGTGCAGCTGGATACCAATGAGCTCCTGACTATCCTGAGGCAATGTGTGGTGAGCCCTGACGTCCGGGACTGCAAACCCTACATATCCCAGCTGGCTGAGTACAAGCAAGAGCTCGCCCTCAAGTTCAAGGAGTTTCGGGCATCCTGCCGCCGTGTGGCAGCCGTAGACAAGAGTCCTACCCACATGCTCTCTGCCATTACGAGCAGCTTCCAGGTGCTAAGCAGCCTCATCGAGACGTTTGTGAGGCTGGTGTATGTCGTGCGCTCGGAGTCCCAGCGCCAAGAGCTGCTGACGAAGGTGGAGGAAGTGGTGAGAAACTACACCTTCCTCCTGAAGGCTGCGGAGGAGTCCACGGCCAGAACGCTGAGCCACCAGCAGACCGTGGAGCAGCTCGCCCGCCAGTCAGCCACAGTTGCGACTGTCATGAGCACGCTCACACGCTCCCTAAAGACGTTGATCAATAAGTAAGCCAGCTATGAAAACCAACAAGCCAGTGTGTTGGGCCATGTGCTAGTGATTCTCAAATCACATAGGTCTGGTGAGGATGCGTGTCTACAGGCCCACATCTACTGTGGTTTGCAGTAGCCAAGATGCTGTTTTATCTCTGCAGAATGGATGGTTGTGTTGGTGGTATTTTTGAAGGGTAAATTCATGCCCTGTCACAAGCTGTGCAACCAGCTTGTCAGGGGTCTCAAGCAGCTCCTCTGCTTGCTTTCCCATGCTGGCTTGTTGGTGACGGTACTTGCGGGGCACAGTCACCCCATCTCCGTGCTAGTTTGGTTTCATGTGGTTCTGGGCCTCACTTGTGCAAAGACCTCCACAGTGTGTGGTGGGCCAGTGAGTTAGCAGTAACTGAGCCAAGATCTGGCTTCACTGAGGCAGTCTGGACCCAAACCAGTGTCTTGCCATGTAAACAGCTCTTCTGCCTCCAGGGTGTTCCTGGCCCACAAATGCAACATAATTAGCAGCAGAATGGATCTCTGGGGTGCAAGTCCCTGCTGCTATGCTAGAGCCTCGGAAGTAGTCCTAGCACGGGCAGGATGCCATAACCCTGGGGCAGAGCTAGGTCACCCTAGCAGGCTCTACTCTCACAGCTTAGGCAGCAGTGCCCTATTCCTGAGCACAGGTACTGCCTGTGCAAAAGGCGAGGGCTTAATGCCTGCAAGTAGGGAGGATCCAGGGAACTACAGGCCTGTCAGTCTGGCTTCAGTGCCAGGGAAGGTTATGGAGCAGATCGTTTTGAGTTCCATGACACGGCACATGCAGGACAACCAGGTGATCAGGCCCAGTCAACATGGGTTTATGAAAGGCAGGTCCT